ACCAGCTAAAAAGAACCATAGTATAATGTTGTTTTTCTAAAGACAAAATGAAGCAAAAGACTGGTGGCTTTCCACTAAAATTGCTTCCCCCTGTGAAAACTTACCCTATTATTTAGCTGTCAACTGTCAAAACTGCATCATTGTTAACAACTTAAGGCTACACTGTGCACACAGCTATGTATGATAACCACTGCTTCTCATGAGAACACCTCCAAGGATATTTTCAAGCTCAGGTAAAACGAGGATGAACTACTATAAACTAAACCTTTCCCCAAACTGCACAACACAGACATCATGGCTGGAAAACATCAGCCCAAGCAGTTAAAGTTTAGCAGAGCTATAAGCTACCAAAAAAAAGGCCTGTTAGGCAAACCTAGTCTGCTGAAGGCATTATCTCTGCATTGCTGCACTGCCTCCACCCAGACCGAGCGTTCTTGGGCACTGTGGTAATCTGCAGAGTGACTTGGGAGCTATTGCTCCACCTGTAAAGTTGTTGCCACCAGTTTTAGGTTTTTCAACCGGTTGATAGAATGTAGGTCAGGCTACATTTAACATGTCGAGTACTAAAACAAAAAACTCAGGAGAGCCAGCCCTGTCCCTGTCTCTTGAGTTCTGAGTAAACACTCAAGTGCTTCCAATGCCAGAGGAGCAACAAGAAGAGATTTAAGGAAAAGAAAAGACCTAAGCTGTGCACGTGTAAGCCTCTACTGAGAGAGAAAGTTTTGCTTGGAGACAACTCAGCCAAAGCACAAGGGCAATATTTAGCCCTCAGGGCTCTTTCAAATTCATCTCCCTACAAGAGAAAACACATCTTAGCCCTGGCTCTCACAAGCAGAGATTCAGCTCCAATGTGATGCACTCTGTGATCGTAGCAGCCACTCTGTTGTGTCCTGCTTATTGTCTTGCCAGCTTGGTAGTCAACATCTTCATATTCTACAGCTTCTTCTCCTCTGAGCTGGACTAGGTTTCACAGGAACAGACCTGTTTTCCCAAAAGCCTTGCTAAGAGGACTGCTATTTCATACAAGCCCCTCTGTACTTCCCCCAGTTTACCTTATGGATGCATCAGGCCCAGCCTCCTACCCTAAATCCTGCTGCAGGAAAAACCCGTTGCCTGCTGCAGTGATGAAGGTGACATTGCTCTGGATGCAGGAGTTGTATAGCAAGGTTACTTGCTGCCTAAAGCCAGCTACAAAAGGAAGATGGCTCTCCAACATCACCGTCATTGGGCTCAGCTGAAAACAGGAGATATTACTTCATTAAAATTCATAGATCTTGTGACTTTTATAGAAATAGCAAGTAGAATCCAGGATGGCAGAGATGAGATATTAGGGCCAAAGAGTAATGACTGAGAGCAAAAACTCAGACTTCTGGCTGCCAATAATAAACATATTTGGTAAGAAGTGACTTTTATTCTAAAAGCTACATCTAACACATTGATCTTCAATATATTAAAGCCTGAATAATTCTGATTTTGCTGTACTGCATCGATATGTAGTTCATATAGGCAGTCTAATATCTGCAGCACTGTTACTTTGCTTGACGTGGCAAGTCACACTGTACAACCTTACCTAAACTTCTGACAGATTCCAGAACATGTTGCTCATTCCCTGAAAGACTTTTGGACATGGTTTCTATCAGCAGTGCTTTGTGAACTAATCACTGAAAGACAGAGCCACAGTCTCTGTAGACTGATAACATGGTGTTTTGTAGTGAGTGTATCACATCCATGACTGGATCTCAGCTGCCAGTTCAATTGGTTGCTTCTTTTAATCACAAAAGAAGAAAAAGGATTAGTTAAAAATCAGGATTCATAGATGATAAGAAATCATGATGTAATGAACTGGAAAGAAAACCAATAAGCAAAATCAAAAATAGCACCTGCTTAGAAAAACTGTATTCTCTACAAGCACTGCTTCATTTTGGAACATGACTCAGAAGACCTCAGTCTTCATCTATTTCATTTGGCTGTGAAGTCCCAGCAGAGTAGATTAATTTAAATTAAAAAAAAAAATTGTATACATACATATTGTGTGTCTCTGTAATAGCAGCTGACATCTAGGATGATAAACTCTCTATTTAGACACAAGTATGTTTCTATCCTAAACAGTTTTGCATTTACTTCTCTTCATTTATTATCACCAAGTATATTTGCATCCAAATAAAGTAGTTGGTTCTTCAGAATTCATCCATTTGTGCAGTTCATTTCCCCACCTCAAGCTTTATCACTGTGAAATCACAACTTGTAGTTGAGGATTTGATTAGATCACAAAAAAAGGATTAGAGCTCCAGATGGGACACACACAGCAGGAAGAACTGAATGCCTAAGCAAGAAGACCTGGTTTCTACGCAATTGCCATTGGTTTGTTAGTCTTAACCAAGAATGAAACAAAGAGAAGGAAAAAAAATCTATACATTTCATGCTACCAGTGCTCATTTTGTAAGAGAAGGGAGCAACTGCTTAAGGACTGTTCTTCTTCTGTCAACACTGGAAGGGATACTGAGCAAGTTTGCAGATGACACAAAACTCAGAGGAGCTGTTGACTCCCTCAAAGGCAGGGGGGCCCTGCAGAGAGACCTCGACAAATGAGAGGGCTGGGCAATCACCAGTCATATGAAGTTCAACAAGGGGAAGTGCTGGATTCTGCACCTGGATGTAAGTACAGACTGGGCTACCCTGACAGAATTAACAGCGGCTTCATGTCACCCACCAGGACTGAAGAACTCCAAACTAAAACCAAAAAAATTATCTGTTTCCACGACTCTGCCTTCAAAAGACTGTATGAGGGGGAAAGGTTGATCAGTGATGTTTAGCTCTACAAAGAGCATTGCTGAAATGACTGGGAACCTGGGAGTCCAGCCAGATCTCAGAAAATCTGCTGACTTACAGATCAACATGGTCAGAGTGGCTATCCAGAGTGCTCCCAAAGACCTGATGATTTATCCTGTGCTCAGCATTGGTTAAGATACCCTAACACAAGAAGGGACCTAAACCAGGAAAACATGGAGAGAAATCTCCATTGGAATGCACTATACAGATCAACAGGGATATATAGTACCAAAGTCTGCTGAAACTCAGGGAAGCCAACAACTCACAAACCCAAGAGATCTAGAAAAGAGTTCAATTGGAAGAAACAGGAATGTGAATTCAAACAGACCCAAACAGAATTTCCTTGGATTTTCTGTTTAAGAGAATGATGTTGTTCTGAAAAGTCTATTGCTGGAACATTTTTATTTGTACCTTGTTTTTACACCTGGCCAAATAGAGTTAGAGATAAACAGCTGGTTTGACCCCATTTGAAAACCTTGGTGGATGTCCTTTTGGATGATTGCTGCAGGGAATGATGGAAGAGAAACTACAGGAGCTTTTATCAGCAGTGAGACAGATGTCTCCATTATTTCTTTGCTTTCTGCTGTTTCTGTTATTTTAATTTTTTTCCTTTTTTTCCTCCCCCCTTCATCCCCCGGCAATACTTTTTTCCAGCCAAGACAGATGTGTCTTTGTTACTGTTGCCTTTAAAAGTTTTATGTGCATGTTGTTGGTAAAGTAACAACAATACTTGACTTCTGTAGTATGTTTTTCACTAGGGGAAGCTGAAGCATTTTCTAAGAATCAATTATTCTTCACAAAGCATTTCTGAAGCAGACATTATTATCCCCAGTTTACAGAGGGATGAAATGGCAGATAGGTTAATTAACTTGCTTAAGGTCATCCAGTGAGTTAGTAATGGAGCTGCAAAAAACCCAAGATTCAACAATTCTCATTCCCAGTCCCTTGACCTAACCACTAAGAAGTATTCCTTCTCTTCAGTCTTAAGTACTTCATTTAAATCTATCACTGATCATTTATTCTGACATATTGTTGAACTACAAATTAGTCAGTCTTAATGACAAACATGTAAATGTGTGGAAATCTGCAGCATCCTCCATCACTTGCCTGTTCAGCTTCGTGCACCCCCTGCTATGCTGAACAGCTCATCTTCCATTAAAAATGGAGAACTGTCAATACAGTTTCAGGCATCAGTCCGAGAGCATTGTGTGAAAGAGGAATAGCACTTTCTCCCTTTCCCCAGGAGGCAGGAAGGCTGCCTCAACAGCCTGGCTGTTGGGGAAAGCAATAAGCTCAAGATGCCAACTGGCTTTGAAAAATAATTTCTATTCTTCTTTAATGCTGCATCTCCCTCCCAAGTGTTTCCAGCGTTAGATAGCTGGAGCAGCAGTATTTAATAGCTACATCTTTGTAGATTTCACTCTGTGGCATTAGTTTGACGAGTCATTTTAAAGTCAAAATATCCTTCAAATGCCCACCCAAAGTCTGTCAGTCTCTTAATACTACACATTGTCTCCAGAGGGTTTTGCACTGCAGTTGTCTCCGTGGCTCAGCATGAATCGCTGCACAACAAAATGCAATTAAAGTCTGCCAATTAATCGTGATCACATAAAGAATGAATAACAAATGATTTCTAAACACATATGTAGCCAATGCCGTTTTACCAAATGCTCAGAGGGTCTTTCGACTTCACTCAGTTGAAGATGATTTTATTCCCTCATGTCAATATTTATAAGAAGAAAATGTTAGAGATCATCTTACAGCTTGATAGTTCTGAGAATAAGACTTAGGAGTGAAGTCTATCACTGTGTCACACAGGAACTACTCAAGTGCCTCGTTTCCAAGATCAACTGATACAAGTTCAGACTCTTTTTTCCTTGTAAATGTCAATAAACAAGCACCAATGAGCAAACTGGCACCCTGATCTTTATTTCTGGGTATACCTTTGCCTTCTCAGGACAAACTCACAGTGGCTCAAGTGTCAGATTTTGTCAAAATTTTGCCTTAAAGCCGTTTAACATTCAGTTAAAACTAAAATACATACACAAGAGGAATTGACCAGATAATTAATTCCAGATCATTATTGATCAAATAAAATAATTCCAGACCAAAAATCTCCCAACTATTTGTGAAAAGGTCTTTCTTGTAGTTTATCAAGAGGTCTCTTTCTCTTTTTTTCTTGCTGCTTTGCATTCATGTGCTTCATGAATGTCTCTCCATTCCCCTCATGTCTTTCCGTCACAACAGTCCCTGTGCAGAGAATGCCCATGTTGTCTTCCAGCATTGTGTCAATTCACTGACTTTTGACTTTTATTTTAGGGTTTCACCTTTTTCACTCACCAGTCTGTCACTGATTTTCTTCTAAATAATTGCTAAAAAGTCCAAACACTTTGCTCTGTTTACAGCAAAAAGCTCAGGAGGATCTAACAACATGTCCATAGAATTCAGCTCATCACAATCCCATTCCTGTTGCCAGCTTCTGCTGCTTCCTTCCATTCCCTGGAAGAAGAGAGAGCAGTTCAGCCACTGACCTGAATGTTAAGCACTAGCAAACTAAACCAGGAGTGCAGCCAGGAGTATACACATCTCTGATGGTAATTGCTCCCAGGGATGCATGTGACAGCACTGCCAGGCAGCCAGAATGGCCTGTCTAACCTGTTCTCACCATGAGCATCATCTCAGGGAGAGTGACTTGGGCAGTGCCCTCCATGGTGAACCACATCACCCCGTGAGCTTGAACTCCCTGGCAGAATATAGGGAGACAGTGTTCCAGATGAGGTGAGAAGGAACATTTTGGCTACATGGATTGCAAAATAGACCATGCTCTGCCTCTGCAAATTTGCTGTGTGTTGTCACTTTGTTGACTGTTGTGACCTTGATATTCCATCCTGAGTGTCTGTGCGCTGCCTTACTGGCACGCTAACCCTGGCTGGGTGCTCTGCAAGCAATTCTTCTCATAACCACAGCAACAACAGTGATATAGTAACATAAACAGGCTCTTGTGAGTGCACATTTTTACTTTGATTTAATAACAGCAATGTCTGACAGCAGAAACAACTGATTTCAGAGTAAAAATGGCAGAAGTTAACCAATGGAGAGCTGTTCATATATGTGCTTCCATCACTCCAGAAGAGCCATGCTGGAGCCTGAACGTATAGGCAGCAACACTGGGTCTCTGAAGAGAAAATCTTTGTATTGTGACTTAGAGATCTTTTACAACCTAAATGATTCTGTGATTCCTTCCTACTGATCCTGACCTGTGATGTGTAACTATGAGGGAGAAAGTCAGTTTGCCTACTCTTCTGATCAGGAACAGCTGTAATTCTCACACCAACCTAATCCACTAAATGTCTCTGCCCTGAAACTCAGCAGAGTAACTTGGGCAATCAGACCCCAGGGTGATAAAGGTGAAAAAACAAACAAACAAACAAACAAACAAACAAAAAACAAACACCAAAAAACTGAAATGGAACCAGAATCCTGCTTTGAGAGAAAGAGGAAGATGCTCTCCAGTGGTCTATATGCCAATTTTCAAAGTTTGGGTAACATGCAAGAAGACTGGATATTTTCATTGATGAGGTGAAACGAGATTAAACTGATGTAATTACTGGAAAAGGTAAAATGGAATCTTATAATATTTTGCCCCAATCCTTTTAAACAAATAAAGAAATTTGAAGATTGAGAAGGTAACAGTACATATGAAACCACCATCACTATTTTAGAGATGCAGACAGTAACTTGTTCCAATTAATGCTATTGAGGAGGGGTGGAATGGAGCAGGGATGGCTGCAGAGAATCAGGCCGCTTATCCCTCCAATGTACAAAAAGTGTTTGGAACTGTGTGAGGAAAATGCCCCAAATAGCCAGCAGCCATGTCTCATCAGATTTTCTAAAACTTATTTTCCATGACAGAAGTTATTCCAGTCTATATGGAAGAAGTATTTTTGAACTCAAAATGTTTAAACTACTTAATCATGGAACAAAAAAGTGGTGGTTGCTTAGGAGTCAGCTGTCGTAATTTGATTATAACAAGGACAGTTGGTATAAGAAGGAAAAAGGACAGTCCCAGTCAGGGACTGACTCACACACAGAGATGCTTCAGAAAGATTATCCCCATCATGGTGGGAGAAATGATGAGAAAATTACGATTCAAAAATAGAGGCAGAAATGTAAATGAGAGTACATATGATCTTACTCCATAAAGTCATGATTGCTTAATTAACAAAATGGCCAAATTTGGCTGAAGGACAATTTTGTCTCAGCAGTAGGGTAAAGGAAACACTCAGAAGCTAAAAGCATAGTACAGAACAACATGGAAAGGCAAAAATATCGTGAAAAAATGTCCTGTTCATACAAAAAAATGAAGACTACAGAAATGCGATTACAGACAGTAAAATGGAGAGTGCAACAGTGCCAAGGCGTATGTCTAAATAGAGATGGTAAAACAGCATAGAAGTGGCAGAAATGTTAAAAACTCATATTCCCTTCTTAAAAAGAGGCACTTTTCTTATCTAGTAAGAAAAAGAAAGGAAAGAAGCACTTTTCAGTCCATTAGTCAGTAATGAAAATAGAAAGCAATTTCTACTAGAGCTAACATTTTAAAATTAGGATATCTAGAGAACTTTTATATGACAGTCTTTGAATAACTGGCTAAAGAAATTCCATAAATGTTAATTCTTAATAATCATAGAAAGGCTTAGTTTGGAAGGGACCTTAAAGATCACCTAGTTCCAACTCCTCTCTCCCATGGGCAGGGACACCCTTCCACTAGATCAGGAATATAAAGGAAATTGCAGAGGATCATGCCAATATTCAAAAAGGACAAGAAAGGTGACCAGGGTGCCCAGGCCATGAGGCTGCTCTGCTCGTGACAAGCATGGAAAAGATGACAGAAAATTAATCAAGGAAGGACGATGGAATAACAATGTCTTCAAAGCTGAGCAGAATCTGCTCTTCTAGAAAACAGGCCCAGGCAGACAAATCCAATTTCCTCCTTCAACGGCATTACATGTTTGGCGTGTAAATGCAATCACATAATTGTCATTTAGTCAGATGTTTGCACAGGGTCTGATTTAGCATCTCCTGGCACTGATTAAAAATTAGCATAAATCGAGCACTGGGAAAGCTCACAGGAAGCGGGATTGGCAGTGGCCAAAGGGGTGTTGGGGGGAAGCATTAGCAGGGTCAGGTGCCCAGCCCCACCTCTCAGGGGCTCCCCTGGGCACACACCCTGCTCCACTCCAGGTTTGGGGGCACAAGGGTTAGTGACCAGAGACCAAGATGACGCTCGTGCTGAAAGACTGAGATTGTGCAGGTGGATTTGCCAAAGCACATATACATAAGCAGCTGAATATCCATCCTTGAAAAAAAGCAGGCAGAGGGAAGCAAAAGTTATGAGGCTAAGGACTGGCGAGGAGCACAGGAGAGAGGCACCCTAACTTGGGAGTAGAGAAGCAATTTCTCTGTGTCGTTTGGAGACACAATGAATGACAGGGAAACATTTGTGGCTCCCAAACTCTTCCTTTCATCACCTTTCAGTAAAACTAGATTTCGACAACAGTTGTCCCAGTTCACAGTCTGGTCAAGGCTGTGAGTGAAGACACCTGGCTTTCAGCTCTTTGTGTAAACTCATACCTTCTCCCAAGAGTAAAACCAACTTGTTTTTGATATTATATTAACCCAGGCAGACATTCTCACAGAGCAAGACTGCTGACTGTGTGGACATCTTCTCACACCAACCTTCACTGGCAAAAGGAAAGAATAAGATTGTATGTAGTAGCAAAAGGAAAGAATAAGGTTCTATGTAGATTTGTCATCAGCGTCTAATGAGAATATCTGCTAATTTCACGATTAGATTTAAGCATATAACTCCAAAGGTGCTTATAACAGGAAAAAGGAAAAGAGAGGAAGGCACAACGAAAACGTTCCTGACGATATTTGCAGATGCCTGTTAACACAGGAGAGCGTAACTCTCTTAAGGGGTGATAGTTTGGGTTGTCCTGTGCGGAGCCAGGAGTTGGACTGGACGGTCCTTGTGGGTCTCTTCCAACTCAGGATATTCTATGATTCTATGACGACGGGGCTCGGCACCGGACAAGCCGTCACTCATTGCGGGGAAGGAGAAGGCAGGTCCACCCGTGCAGGCGGGACCGGGGCGGGGACGATCCCGCCTCTCCCCGCTCGTCACCCGCCCGCGCCGCACTCCGGCATCACCGACCGCCCCCTCCGGCATCACCGACCGCCCCTCCGGCATCACCGACCGCCCCCTCGGCATCACCGACCGCCCCCTCCGGCATCACCGACCGCCCCCTCGGCATCACCGACCGCCCCCTCC